CTCCTCTTTCCTACTGTTCATATCCATAACTTGTGATGCAACACTGAAATTTCCCCAATCTTAGTCCTTTAAAAGAAATGTTATAAATATTTCAAAGAATACTGTACTACTATACAAATATGTCACCAACAGCTTGAATAATTGAGCACTTGAAATAAGTTCAATCAAACTATGGGTATTTTTAAGAAATAAAAACGTCTTAAAAGGACATACTAATGCTTAGTGATTATGGAATGTTGACTATAAAAATATATACATTGATAACAACTTGTATACAAAATGAGTACTTTTAGGACTTTTGCAAATATAGCATATATTTTAAACACTTAAAGAATTATATTTTGAAATGGTTTGAACATATTTATTTTTTACCAGACATTTTAAACCGCCTTTGGTGGCTGAACATGTTCCCATTCACAGTGCGTACCAGCGGGGGGCAGTGTCTCCTAACGTTTCCCCTGGAGAGGCGCTGGTGTGGCTCTGCAGTGCAGCTTACCTGGCCTCTACTTCAGCTTGAATTCAGATCAATACTTATTGCTGTTGTCCTTGTGCGCACATTCTTAGTAGCACTGAAGCACAAAAGTATGGGATAAAACGCAAAGGAATTAGGGAGACGAAAAATCTAAACATATTTGATCTTTTACTCATTCCAGAAGTATTTATTTCTTTGGTCTTAAGGAGAAATATCATGTCAATCAACATTCTTAAGTTTTTAACCAAGGATCCATCCATGCTAATCAGGAACTTCTGACACAAACGTGTAACGCTGTCCCTTCTGTCTGAAAGCTCCTGTCTCCACCCTGTAACATTGCGTCATGTCACTGTACCACTATGACATCCCGCTCAGAGCTGCAAAAGTACTGTCCATACATTCGGACGTAACCTATTGACAACCTTCTTTACTATCACATATCTGCGTTTCTTGTGTACGCTTCCTCTGGTGTTTGCAGATAGCATTGTTTCAATTAAATTAAATTAAAAACAATTCAATTGAAATAACTATTTATCTGTGAGGATCTTCATTTGCAGACAGAGCACCAGAGGAAATCCATAATAAAGATCATAATCTGCCTCAGCCAAAACAGACTGTGATGTTGCGTAAAGAGGTAGATTGTAATAATAATAGAGATCTTATTACTGATCGCTGAGATCAGTTGAGTAATACAGTGTGTGTCAAGCAAATGCGTTCAGTTCATAATAAAGAACCATGGGGGACATAAATGACCACTATTTAGGACACCATCACTTGAAGGTCAGACTAAAGTAGTGGCTCTGCAGACTACATTTCCAAACTAGAGTGTTTTTGCTTTTGCTGTTTTCATTTTCACCTCCAAAAACAATTAGGGAATAGAAAGCGACATACTTCTTGTACAAAGTTATGGGCAGCTACAATAAAACAAAGATATCTTTTTGTTCCCTCACCTTTTTGAAGCTATATCCACACCTATAATTTATTCCATGATGATTACGGGCAGAAAAATGCAGCAAAGCGAAACCATTTGAAAAGTAGGTTAGTTAAGAGTTAATCGCATTCATTTTATAGTTGCATTTATAGTTGTTGCACACACACACACTGATTGGACAAACTTTCACAATGTACAATAGTTTATTTTGGCCAGAAATAGCCAAGGCAGACTAAAGTTTAGACTAAAAATCAGTTGACTCGGACATTGTTACACTGTACGAGAAAATAGGCACGTAAAATCTATGCATGTGTAAACAACTGCTCTACAATTCCCAATCAACACCTCCACAGCCATGCAAGTGCTAATCAGAGAGAGGGCGTGTCCAGAGCAGAGCCATCACTGGTGTTTGGACATAATCAGAGCCGACAGCGGAGGAAAGTAACATGCTAATCAATGGTCCTTCACGTTCCCTACAGTTCAGGGCACGTTTAGTGTGGCTTGTTATTTTGGCTGCAGGATTTGGCACAAAGGAAGAAGCCAAAAGGTTATCTCCAAAAAACAAAGGGGTTTGATTTTACACAGTTTCCAAAGTAGTTACCAGGACTCATTTAGTGCTTAGACTCACATCCAAGTCATTCTCGATCTGATGCAATGGTCCGAGAACTGGAAATTGAATCTGTAGAGAGCTTAGTCCTGCCCAGCGGGAAGACGGAAAAGAAAATAACACTATAAAACTAGAGCCTTTCTGTGTGGAGTTTGCACGTTCTCCCCATGCCTGCATTGGTTTTCTCCAGTTTCCCCTATCACTAAAAAAATGAACAAAGTAGAATGGTTGAGTATGGTCCAAGGTGATCTTGTGTGTTGGCAGAACAGCTTCAGTCAGTGTGCCCCAGGCCAGAAATGGTTCTAATAGTTTTTGTGTATTGTATTATCAATTCACACCTCTTTCAAACCAGCAAATCGACAAAAACTCTGAGATGGGAGTAGCAACGTCAACGCTGCAAATATTCCCAGCGATGGATCACCTCTGGACGAACATACATACTGACCGCTTTAGCAGTCAGTATGTATGTTTACCATTGTGATGCACAATACAATTTAATTATAATCCTACTGAACTGGACAAGCAGAGGCATCAAAGTGCACTGGAAATGAAATAACGGTAACAATTTGGCTTTCAAGGAAGACATAAGAGGCTTCTGTTGATTTCTGTGATCAGTGACACCTGTGGCTCAAAGGAATCGGAGGCTTTGTTCAGAGGTGTCTCATAATCATATCAAGAGTATAATAGCAGTCTGTAGTCTGGTGTTCCCAACATCTACATGCTTTATCTGTGCAAAGCCATTTAAAGTGATTTTGCTGCAGCACAAAGATGTTTCTTTTCATTGCATTTTCAGTGTTTTCCCTGAGGCTGCTCTTCCTACTCTATTCTTCTCAACACTCCACTTCTCACGTATTTTCTTCTGTCAAGGACAAAAGCTGCAGTAAAAAAAAATAAAAAAATGTGTCATCTGCGCTCCCCGTTTCTCCTGTTCTCTCTCGCTCCATCTCCTTTGATTTTCTACAGAGATATCAAGTCTGGAGCCCTGCATGACTATGTGGGGCGGACAGCAGCTATACAGGCAAGGCCTGTTTATTTGTTTAGAACAATTCATACGCAAGGAAACTCAAGGTGCTAAGCAAAACAAGATAGAAACAATCACACAAGGCATAAATCATAAATAATCACTGTACATTCAACATAGTGTTTGAATTATTAGGGAATCAAATACAAATTTACATTATTACATTCATTACTTACAGTATTATAACAATTTATTGCTTATTTGTCATTTGTTACCACTTAGCTTAGTTATTTTATGACACAGGGGTTATGACTGGAGTAGGGATTCGCACATCAATACCTACAGATCGGGTGCGTAGGAGGAGAGGCCTCTATAGCTAATGTGATAGAGAGAAACACAGGGGTTACACGTGCATACACCAAGAGGTGACTTCCGGTCCTCTCCATCTACTTTGCATGCACCTTGTTCAAAGTTTTTGTGCTGCCAACTTAAATGGAACAGAAACAGTAGCACATCAAGCATCTCAGTATCTCCATGTCTATACAAGTAAAATTTTTTTTTTATTTTTTTTTTTAAATGCCCTTACATGTCAAGAAAGACACAGAGCTTCACTGAACCAAACCAGAGCAGAGATAATGGCCTGAACCAAGCAGACACTGCATAATAGTACTGGAGAAAAGGCATCGAGGAAGAGGGTGTGGCCTGTGGTAGTGAAGGAGCCTCATCGCTACAGGCTCTAAGAGATCTACAACCACCGGGCCCTTCCAGAGCAACACCTCGACCCGCTCGGACTATTTGAGGGCACCAACCTTTGCCCCATGATGTCAAGAGGGTGACCATGTTCAAGAATCTCCCACTGGCCCAACGCCTTGGGGTCCTGCCGGATGAGCTGAAAGAAGTGTGTGTGGATAGGGAAATGGATGGATGGATAGACTTTTCTTCCGTGAGAAGTTTCAATTCAAGTCTAGATGCAATAATTACATTGCGATGCAAGTTTACAAAGTCTCAAAGACACAAACTGAGGAGTTCCCATCAATAGCAGTGCACACAGTCTGTGTCCCCATCTGTCCGGAGTGCCATGACAGAACAGCTTTGGGAACGTGGGCTGTACGTGTCTGTGGGCTAAATGACACGCATTTATTTAATAGCTCAAATAAAAGCTCACATTTTAAATTTGGGCCTGCCAACCCACAGATTTGATGACTTTATTAGGCTGTAAATTTGGCGCTTGATCTGACGCACTCAGAGATATTACAGCAATTATCCCCTGCAGATTCACAACATATGGGTGTAGTTTTATGTCTGGAGAAAAAGGGAATGTTTAAGTTTTATCATGGAGAGTCAAAAACTGCAGCATTCAACCTGTTCTGTTTAAATGTATTGTATGACCCTGTAATAGTACAACCACAGTAAGGAAGTATTTTTAGATAAACAAAAAAAAACAAATTAACAATATAAATTGAATAGTCTTGGCTTAACCACCACCAATCAGCTTTAGCTGGAAAAGAATATTTGGGACCGGGCAAGACCGTGTGAACCAGACATCAGCTCAAAACAAGAGAAGGTGTTCCCCTCAGGTACATTTAACTAGCCAACATAGTATTTGAAGTATCGATGAATCAATTAAATATGAACAATCAAGGATAATAATCATGGTAATTGCAATTAAAAGGAAATATAAGATCAACTTTTTAAACTCTAAACAGTTCCCCTTTAAAACATGCCTGGAGTTGTCTTAGATTAATTCACATAAAAATGTAACAAAAGATGAGAAATATCAATGTTTGTGATTATGACAAATGATGTATGACCTGTGGATATTTTCCTCCCATGGTTGGTGGCTGTCACTTGTGGTGGTTAGTGCACTTGTCCCGCAGTGTTATTTCAAGCCACCCAGTCCAGCCCCGCTGTGACCGCCCATTCCCGCCAGATTTGTGTTGGGTCCCAATTACAATATAGTTAAGATTATTCTTTCGTTCAGCACATGTGTTTTTTCATGTGTTACATTTGGTTAGAAAAGAGTTCTGACCTGGCGAAGTCGAGATCCGCCTCTCGGGACATAGTGATGTTGGTGAGGTTTTGCTGCAGGACAAAGATGTTCCGGCACATCTTCTTAATACCGGATTCGCTGATGCGCTTGAAGTACTGCGCCCCGTTGATCAGTATACACGAGATCAGATGACCAAGGCCTGCAAGCAGAACAAAAAGTGTGAATACGTAATAGTAGCAGTTACACTGGAAGTAATCATCTGCATTAGTAAAAGACATCAGTCATGAGCTAAAGTGGAATGTAAAGATATTAGGCATAGCAAATGGCTGATGATAATCAAAATATATATCTTTATGGTCTCATTTCATGTTTTGGGAAGGGAAAAATGTCTTGAGTAGAAATGTGGTGTCTTTTATCTTTATCTTTATCTTTATTTATATACCGCCTTTTCACTGCAGATCTGAGTCTCAAAGCGGTTTACAATTGTACATTTTTTGGGCATTTGTATCTCACTCCACACAGAGATGGGAGCGGAGTCGCCAGTACAGGACTATTGGACATATTTTTAGTGGTAGGGGGAAACCGGAGTGCCCGGAGGAAACCTACGCAGACACGGGGAGAACATGCAAACTCCACTCAGAAAGGCCCTGTTCCGACCGGGATTTGAACCCAGGACCTTCTTGCTGAGAGGCAAGAGTGCTAACCACTCAGCCACCGTGCCGCCCACTCGTGTCTTGAGTAGTGAGTAATATCACAGGAGGCAGAATGAGCAGAGTCACATGTTTGTAAGCAGAAGTTCTTGATATTAGCGTGGATGGATCTAAAAACAACTGCAGGTCTAATCTTGATGAAGGAACAATGTTGAAACATAGTACAAAGTTTTGCGTACCTTCAAAGATGTATTGAAACTTGTGCTGCTGCAGCGCTGCCCCCATGGCCTCCTCGATAGCCGAGATATCTTTGTTGAGTTTCACCACTAGGGGGTCGTAGTCCATGCTCTCCACATTTGCCACGATAGCATAATTCCCCTGTTTGGTCAGTGGGATGAGGTAATGGAAGCAATGCACCCTGCAAAAGAACAACAACACAAGTCTCAGATTAGTATAGTGGTGAATTTTGTGAGAACTGAAATAAGTATAGTTAAATCAGAAGTATACAGATATATTTTTCACGATGAGAACTGCTCATTTCCACTTGTAGTAGGTCGACAGGTTCATGATGAAGTAAAGTTTATTATTAAAGCAAACACTACAATGACACTGCAAGCACTACAATGACCAAAACTATAATAACTGACTTGTCTTACTGAGCAGATATTTCCCTTGAAAATCAAAAGAAGAAAAGTTAAATTGCGATGATTAGATTAGAAAACTACTAAACAATCACCATAACTCTTCTCCATTGCTATGATTGTGATCCGTTGATAGAACAAGAAGCAAACCGATGTTCCCAACGTGTTCAGCACCAACTAATCAAACTAATTATCTAAAATATCACACATTATTAAGAAGAAAATGTAATCTTATCATTTTGAAATTTAAATGAAAAAGAATAACACAATACAATTAAACAAATAAAAAAAAACTACATATATAATATAAATGAGGTAATGTGTAAAAAGTAGTATTTACAAGGGCTGGGATCTCTGGGTCCCTCACTATACATTACACAACTCGCAATACGATAATTACTTTTTGATTCTATCTAAATCCAGTACATTTTGAGTCATGAGGTATAACATGCCATGGTAGCTCAAACTAAGCAAGCTTCGTGGTTGCTAAGAGGTGGATTAACATACGGATAATCAACTGTGGGAAAAAATATTTCTATCTTCAATTCTATGTTGTGTAGACCCTTTTGAGGCCTCCATCACACACCCACACTAACAATGTTTTATTTATTTTTTCAAATGATGTGTTTAGAGTTACAGTATATTGTCCCATACATGATCCATACATCCTGTAATACCACCAGTGTGACTGCTGCTATATATTTTGAGTAGATATATTTTCTCTGTACCAACTTTTCTTATGCTTGGACTGCCAAACTCAAGTTAATTTACCACACCACAAACTTGCTTTCCTAATAGCCCTTCATCATCGGGGCTCCTGTTCTGCTGCCCCTGTGTATGCACTCCCTTTCCCCCTGCAGAGCATTGTGGAGCTTATGCAATTTTGTTTATGATTTCAGTGAAAAAAAAAAAAATCCTCCCGCAGGCTGATGTGGAGCTATATGTTACACACCATTGACTCTCACCATCTAGTGAATTTCCCCTGATAGTGGTAGCAACTAAATGAAGCCATGAGGAAAAGAACATGATAGGAAGGAAGTAGAGGGAGGAGAAAGAGAGACAAGGGAGGCATGGAGAGAAACCAATTCTGCAAACACCCACTTCTCCAAACTCTTCAGTCAGTACCTTTACATGGCACACGAACATTAATTTTATATTTTAACATTCAGCTTGTTATGCTGTCATTGTGCAAAGTATTGTCGCCCAAAGTATTGTTCTTCACCAGACCCACATGTAGAAAACAGCAATACAACAGAATCTGCTGTATAAATTACTGCTTTCTATGAGAAGAATGTTCAGGCTAAAGGCACCTCTGCAAAAAGACTACCTCCCAAGATGGCGAGTCGTTTCACTCCACCAGCCTGTTCACTCAGTTTGTAAGGATTTGTCCAGTATATCCTCACCTTTGGCAAGCCCAGAAACATAAAAGCAAAGCATTTTATTTCTATACAGGCTCCAAACTACTATGCTGACAAGATTGTTTCTCTCTGCAGCAACCATATAATATAAACATCTTTTACCACAACTATGATTGTAATGTTTAGCGGTCACATGACTCTTGCAAGGAACATAAAGGCGTATTGTGCATCTCAGGAAGTGGCAGAGTTCAAGTGGCTGCAGTACTGAGGGAAAGTAGTTAAGACTGAGGAGTGACTGAAATGCAATAGTCCAAAGTGAGATTGAGGCTTGGAAAATGGCCGCCGCTGTCATGGTGTTTTGCCTTAAGGGGAAAAGCCATTCACCCATAGAATTTTTTACGCCTGTGGAATCACGAGGCTATTATTGACTCCTTATGTCCAGACAGGATTTAACCTTTTATGGAGCGATGGAGAAATGCAGAGGTGCAATAATATAGTTCAGGGTCACAGGTCAGATCATAAAAATGGGTGACATAAAATAAATCAATGGCGTGTACAGTAATGGAAAATAAGTTTAGTGCCTCACTGGCTGACAAAATAAAAATAGGTTTGTAGTGGACATTGCAGAGATCCAACAATAAAATGAACCAAAGAAAATGGCTGGTATGGATTATAGGGGCCCTGTGAAACTTTTCTAATATGGTTTTCATCATTTTTGGGGGGACACATTTTTACCTCTTTTGGACTCTTCTGTAGTATGGTAAACTATCAGCATTTATCTACACTGTTTTTCTTCACAAAAAGACCTAAGACCTTATAGATGTACACTTAAATCAATAACAGAAATAAATACATGAGCAAAACCACGGCACTCGATAGAAAGTGAGATTCAGAAGTTCACAAATTCTGATTTGGCTCTTAAGTTAAAATATTATCAGTATCTATTTAATAAATTAATCAGTTTTCCTGCTTTCATTATCCAGAGAGCTTATCACAACTAAAGAAAAAAAAAAAAAGAGTCACATAGTAAATGTTGAATACATTCAGAATAGGGCTGAACAATATGGACAAAATTAGTCAAGTAAAATTGGCGGCACGGTGGCTAAGAGGATAGCACTTCGCTTCTCAGCAAGAAGGTCCTGGGTTCAAGTGCTAGTCGAAACAGGCCCTTTCTAAGTGGAGTTTGCATGTTCTCCCCATGTCTGCGAAGGCTTTCTTGACCACAAAAAACATGAATCGGTCTGGCATGCGCCTCCTGTATGGCGACCTTGCTCCCATCTCTGTGTGGAGTGAGAGGAAAAATTCCCACAATTGTAAAACGCTTTGTGATAAATAAAGATTACTTATTTACTTATTATTCATAATAACACCCACCCTCCTATGTTTGTCACTGGTTAGCTTCAACTGCAGATCTACAGCATGAAATAAGCTCTGCTCAATTGGCAGGTTTTCACAGTCTCAAACAAAGGGGGAACCGGTTTGCGGACTGACCAAGTCTCATGACCTTTGTGAACAGTAAAATATGCTGAAGAAAATGAATGCATTAAAAAACTGGACTTAAGCACACTAACGTTTTACTTTCAGTTTTTATGTGAGATAAATGTAATACAGACAAGTACTGCTGCCAAATTGCAGTACACTGTAACTTTACATGTGTACGCGTTTAGTTTTTAAAAAGTAAAAAGTAAAAATAAAAATAAAACAATGCATCGGTTTTATAAATCAAAGACGATACACTTGTCATTGTTCAACCAGTTTGTGCCATCTGCCCCTCTGACCACCACCAATCATCCATGCACACACCAGACTCATTCTAGGCAACAACAGCTTGGCACTTTAAAGCCGCCCCACTGTGGCACCTGGTGTTCCCAGAAGTCTCCCATCACAGTACTAACTAGGCCCTGCCCTTCTTCGCATCAGAGGTTTGACGGGATCTGGCTTTCGCGTGCAGGTGCCGCCATAAAAAACAATAAAGAGAAGATAGATCTGACACATAAAAAGAACAAGCACTGGGTATTACAGAGATTTTAATGAGCAGCGCTTTGGATTCAGTTTGCCTCTGCAGAGGTCACAATGGTAAGGCTGTTTGCTGAATCAATGGTGTTTCTCTGGTATATGTTCGTAGACAGGTGCATTCACATGCTGTGTGTGTGTCATTTAATTTAGCCCTTCATGTTTGAAAGTTGCGGTGGTTGAACAAACAGATTACAGATTTTGCAGAGTTACCGTACAGATTATACTGTCGTTGTAATACACATTGCTGCTTCTACAGTCAAACACCCCCCAAAAAGGCCAGCTCCATTCATAAGTGAATGTAAAATGTCCGAAGGCCACACCCTTACTGAAATGTTATCGTCTCATATCGTCTTGAGGAAACTGTCATTACTACCCTCTATAAGGTGGAATGGGACAGCTTACCGGACTTCAAGGTGCAGGGCCAACAGGCAGCGGTCAGCAATGTCCTGGAAGCCTCGGGTCAAGTCAGTCAGAGTCTGAAGGATATGCTCTCGGCAGCGTTGGCTCTCCCCCACCACATGACTGTCCGCGGGTCCACCTGTACCCACAAGCAAGCACGCTTTAGTACAAGCACATTGAAAGGATTAATAACAGTAGAGACAAAGAAATGCTTCCAATATGTTCAGAGCAAAACATCACGTACAGATTTTTATTGAAATAACTACATTGTCTATAAACAGATCTATTTCAATTTTATTTTTAAGTGATCAAAGTCCTCACCACATTGACAGGCTTTATTACCACTGATTCGAAGACTACAACAATATTCTTTAGTTCCAGCCAGATGGAACCAGTGTTGCAATTCTGTAAAGGCCCAATCAGGTTGTGATAAATGCACAGATGTATGAATATGCTGGTATGTTTGACCCCAAAATCACTTACTCATTATACTACATGACATCATTTAGCACAACTGAAACCTTTAATTAAAGTGGCAGGAGGACTTAAAACAAGTCTGAACCCATTCAAGTATTTTCTGGAAAATTCTGCATTATTTCAATTATTTAGCTAGATGTCCAACAATCCTTGTTTGCCAAGGAAATGACTTTCTCACCACACTGTAAAAAGATATTCTATGTTCAACTTAACAGGCCTGGCTTGTAGCATCCTCAATTCCCTCATGTTTATATGCCCTTTCCCAGTGACAGAACCAGGGCGCAGGCATGAACAAGATGCCTAAAATAACTGTCCTTTTTATAGTCCCAAAGCAGAAAAAGAGTTAAATTGTATTGGTAAAATCAAATCTGATGCTTTTTGTCTTGATCAAAGACAGCCCGCACCACAAAGAGTGATGCCCCAAGGCAAGACAGTTTCACCCATGTGACTGTCAGTGCAAACTTTGTCAAATTAAAACTCTTACAATCACCATAATGTTGCTGTCCTGGTTTTGGCCCAGCTTAGGTTGATTGTTGTTCTGGTTTTGTGGCATACATGGCATAAACTGTTGATTCTCTGATCTGTGTCGGTGATTTCAATGGTTTTATTAAGTCCTTTGAGATGACTTCTGTTGTGACCTAGGGCTATACAAGAATAAATTGTATTGTACTGTAAACTGTGTCACTCTGTCAGTGTGCCCCAGGGCAGCTGTGGCTACAGTAGTAGTTTATCACCACAGTGAATGGAGTGAAAGAATGAGGACATGTAAAGCGTCTTTGAGTGTCCAAAAAAGCGCTATATAAAACCAGAATGCAGAATGTCATTAAATCTGTTTGATTGGCTCACACCATTACTTTTTTTGGCACAACCAACATGAACAGGTAGTGGAAGGGAAAATTAGGTACCCCAGCTTTAATTTAGCGAGTGCGCTTCGGGAGAAGACACGGAGGAGACTAAAGGCTCCGTCGTCCAGCTTCAGCGCTGTTTTTTGTGTGTGCACTGGTTACCAGAATATGGGAAGTGGGCGCTATAACTTTCAACCGAAAACCCCTGGTGTTCAGTAGCAAAATATATGTAAAATACTCCTGGTGGGTCCAATAATGACCAAAGGTTACGCAACAGTTGTTCCTTCCATAATTCTTTCACACCCCAAGATGCTTCGATGGAGAGGCGTGTTTGATGCACAGATTTATTCAAAACTGATGGGTTTTAAAGGTTTTAAATTGTAGTTCATGTTTAAAGGATTGTTATTTCTGACTATGTCACACAGTACTTTGATATATTTTTCAACAATAATATATTTAAAATAGTGCCTCCCCTTGGCATAACAATGACAAGTAAGATTTTCTGGAGGAGAATAATTAATAATTAAAGGGGACACAAGGAAGTGAATGAATGTCAATCAAGTCTGCAGTGAACTTTAGGGCTCGTCTTCAAAAATCTTCACTCTCTTTTCAAAATTTGAAAAGAAACTGAAATTTTTGTTAAGAAGAAAACAGTTTATGATCACAAAGACAAAAAAGAATTTCAACACAATCTGGCCTTTGTGAAAACACAATTCAACACTATTGAATTGTGCAACCTTCAAAGCCTGAATGAAAACAACTTTTCTGATTTACATTTTTAAATTGCCCTGCTGATTTTCTATTATCTGTATCACAAAAAGAGAGAAAATAGATCTACAAAGATAGTGTAGTGGTGGTTGGATTGTCAGAGTATTGGCACCTTGAGGACACTGATGAGGTCTCAAACCAGCATGAATCATTATACAAGCAACTCCTCAAATAAAAATTCCAATAAAATTCAAACTTTACATAAAATGTTCCCTCAAACATAAGACACATTGCGCAGAGTTTTGAGTATCGTCACAGAACATTATACATTATTTTGTCCAAACACAGCTCGCCGTCCGCGACAGACTCTTTGAGTAAAAAGTTCTGAAGTGAGCCTGCATTCACTGTGATCATGTGTCTGTGTGCGTGTATATTGTACACGCGCATACTTGCACGCTCGTGTGACCTTCAGAAGGGCAGGAAGAGTAACTGGGGAACTGCCTCTGACTGCACCACATCGATCTGGGTCCTGCCATTCCCCCGCTCCCAACACACACTTACACGAACACACACACACACACACACACCCTCGGCTCATTGAACAAATAGACTTACATATGACTGACGGGGCCAATTTCTCTCCCTTTCCTCCCAGTGTTAATTTATGGCCATTGATCCGCACTGGCCAGAGCTTACACCCATCACGCTCCTCGGCTTCTATTGTGTACTAGTGTACAATGCCGCCTCAGCAAAAGGAGAAGACTAATACAACAGAGCTTTTGAACAGACTTGAAACGAGTTACAATAATGAGTTTTAGGTGTACAGTATACACATGTAAGGGGTGCCTTTGCACAGCCCATTATGTTATTTCTTTTAAACATTTCTTGAATTTAAAATGACTCAAATTAAGAAGTGTCATGAAGAAGGACAATAGTAACATTCTATAAAAGATTATTTTATTTTTTTGTGTTTTGCTTTTTGTAATGGGTTGTGAAGCTGTTTGTGATGCAAAATTAAATTAATTAATCGAAAACCCAATGTGTAACTAGTCAAATAGTTAATAAACAAGCCCCATACTGACCTTTCAGGATCTAAAAACACAATCAATCAATCAAAAGAATAGTAGGCCTTTTTTAAACAAACCCAAGACCATGTTTACACAATAATGTGAAATAAAAGAAGGGTATTTTGATAGATCTCAATAGCTCTTTTTAAATTAAAAAATCTATATTGAACATCAGACCATAGATCTTCATCACATTGTGGAGACAAAAATCTGTAGAGGCTCAATTATGTCAAAAGGGCAGTTATAGTTCAAATAGGTAAATATCTTAAAATGATTTTCGTTCAAATGTGCAGGATGATGAATTAATGCATGTATGAAAAATATAAGAATTGCATTCTTCTTTTCTGCTCCTTTTCTTCATGTAAATGTATATTGTAACTATTAATATGTGAACAAAGCATTTTCATGAAAGAAACAAATAAATAAATACAAATAAATACAAAAACTCTGTCTTGAGCATTTTAAAAGACAAAAAAGTGCATGTTTGTTGCCTTCTGTCACATCTTTGGATGAGCTTTTTCAGATAGAAAAGTGACAATGAGGACCTCCCCCTGAGCCAATCAGCGCTCAGCCCAAAGCATAGATGAAGACATGATGAGAGTGTATGTTGCAAATCAGACCTTTAATTCTCAAATCTTTAATTTACACAAGACTCTTTCTGCTAGACAAATTACTACGATTATGTGGACTTTTTCTTTAAATTTAAGCTAATGCATGGCCATTTTTCAGAGTAAAATGCTTTGAGGCAGTTTATGATTTTTATAACAAAACAATTTTTCAACAAATCTTTCAAAAAATGTAAATGGTTAAAGTTAGGATCAGTCACTTTAGTGGCCCTGTATACACCATCAGGCATGGAAATTATATATTTATTTCCCATGTAAAGACTGAAAAGCTTATTGTGAATAAGAAAGACTGATACAGTATTTTAGCTATTATGATTCTCCATCTATTCATTACGCATCTTTTAAATGAACCCCGGATAAGATAAGAGACTATTAGCCAGGGCAAACAATGGAAAGACATGTGTCACCACTTTCTATTCTCAAAGCAAACAGCACGCGCTCTGTGAGGTGACATCAGTAACAGCCTGTCCATCAGCCTGGCACAAAGATAAAGGGGAGAATGTACTCCTTATTAAAAATGTACACACATACATATGAGCAGGGCAGGGACGGACTCTGTGAGTGTGTATAGAAGGTCGAAGTTAATTAAAAGCAAGTAGAATAGATTCTAGAACAGGCCCATTTAATAACGTTTTCCCAATGGCCAACTATATGTTTTTGGTTAGCCATGTCTTAGCCAAATAGATGCTCAATACACATTCACCTTAAACAATAACTACTTTTTTATGTATATATTCATCCATCGACAAAATTGACATCAGAAAAGCGAATAATAAATGTGAGGCTTTTTTTTATAGAATTAAATACGATCAGAAGCATTTTATCTCCAAATTAAAAGGTCTCTATTTAAGTACTCCACTGAAGTTGGAAACACTTGAAACCGCATGTGTGTGCAACAGTAGTTTTCGAATGGTCAATCCTTTCTGTGGAAGTCTGATGAGATTCAAAGGTTTAAATGCATTCCACTTTGTCCCAATGAGACGTTTGATTCGGTGGATTTAGTTCTAATTCAATAGTTCTATAAAAAAATTCTAAAGAGCGAAGAAACTAATTGAGAGTCACTTTTTTGTTGTTGTTCTGATCCTCGATATAACAATGCAGCCACATGTTTCTGTGTGGTGGGGGTGATACCAATCGACATATTGATGGACATAAATGAGATAGAATAGTTGTAAATTTGTTTATGCATCTTTTAAGAAGCGTTGAAGTGCATGACAAGCAATTTTGTTATTGGCCAATTATTAAATCTTGTTCTGGATGTTATCAGTGTTACACCCCATGCAAAGAGCCATGGGAACAATCATCAGCATTGTTTTAGCAGGAGAATTGTTTTTGATTTCTCAAGGGAGCTCAGTATAATGGCAATAATGACTTGATTTAATTGTGTTGAGATGATGTTTGTTTATCCTCTGCGGT